ACACACACACACACACATATATACACACACACACACTTATGTATATTATACACACTATAATATAATACAGTGCATGTGTATATATATATATATATCACAAGACAAAAGATAAAGGGAAAATTTTCTTATGTTTGCTTTATTTATTTCCAAATTTACAAAATGAATTCCTACAGAAGTCCTGGACCATGTGTACTTTTTGAAAGAACATCTTGTTCCAAGTTAACACCGTCTCTTAATACTAAATTCATTTCCTGTCAATCTGTCCCTAAAAATATTTTAGTTTTCAGATTTTCAGTTCATATCTAGTGCTGAGAAAAGTACAATGACTAAACTTCTTGAAGAGGAAAGAGAGATGGAGTTACAATAAATAGTGGGAACCTGTGAAAGGGAAAAAAAAGTGTGATTTTTTTCTTTCCATCTCCTTTATATTCCATTAAATCTTATGCCTTATAAGATACATTGTATCAAAAGAGCTCCAAACTCATGGCTTAAAATGGAAAATTCTGGTATTAATACTCTCGCTCAGAAATAAAGATATTGGGTTCTAAGAGTAGATTTTAATAGTCTCATAAGCTTATTATGGAAGTGGCTGATAGTAAAATCATCACTAAAATACTGAATTGGTCCAATTACACCTCCATTCAACAGATCCAGTGAGGTTCTTTGTGCCTTCCAACAGCATGATGATAATACTTTCATGACTTTCATTCGCTTCATCCTCATCAAGAGGCTATGTATCAAAGTCTAATATAAGAAATACCTGATAGAGGGGCCAGCAGGTGGTGTGCTGGTGAAGGCACTAGATTCCCAGATAGCCAATCATGGTTCAAGTTCCAGACCCAGCGGTTTGAAAATCACACTGAGCACGTGTGCTTATGTACCCAAAATCCCAAGAGGAGAGTGGAGGAGAAGGGACTGTAGCATGGCCATCCCTTTGGAGGGTGATTTCTCACTTTCTCTCTCTCTGTCTCTTTCTTTCTCTCTCTCTCTCGGGCAAGTACATAATAAGCCCTATGGCAAAAGACATGAGAAAATCCCATGGCACATCAGCAAGAAGTTTTCTCACTAACTACTGTAGCATTTTTATGAACCTTGATCACAGAGTTAGTCCCAATCAACTCTAAGGATGAGATAACAATGAACAAATAATGCCCAAGAGGACACTTGAGTGGAATCAGAAAATATTTGTCCTCTTTAAGAAGAGAACTGGCACTGATTAAAGAGAATGAGGAGACTCACAGCTAGGCCTAAGTTGAGTGGGGGAGGAGATTGCGGGGCAGACAGTTTCGAGGGGCAGGGGCAAAAGGTGGCCTGCCTTCCCAGGCCCTCCTTGCTTGTAGTTCTGCCAGTTCTGTGGAGTTGGGAGTCACGACATTTGCACAGGGCAAATGAATCTCTTATGATTTTATAAAAATGGAGTGTTAATTTTTCTGAAACTGTGCTACTTAGGGTCATCAACTCCACGAAGTGGCACCACAGGTTGTCCCACCTACAAAGCAGGCTTCAAGCTCTGCTGCAAGCAGTCAGGTATTGGGACCTTCAACAGCCCTACTTCAAAAGCTTATTTCCACTAGCCATCCATTGGCACATACAGCTTAGAAGTCTCTCAGCTGTACTTGTTAGCAGCATGAAGATTATTTTGACTGGGGACAGCGCAAGGTCAGAGACATGAACATCCATGGGAAAGGGCTGTCCCCAAGGCCCTTTAGATCAGCCCCTGGTACAAACAACCACTGCATATACAGCTCAAGAGGCTGCTGTTTGCAGCCACTGCACACCAGTCCCCCACAAGGAAAGGGGCATAGTCAGTTTAACTGGTTGCAGATAAAATTATTCTTCAAAAGTCAAGGAAAAAATCCTCATACATCTCAAACAAAATATTAGAAAAGAAGTTTCTCTAGCAGAAGGAAATTTATGTAGGTCATAAACTTGGATCTACATAAAGAAAGGAAGAGTGTTGAAGGTAATAAACAAAGATAAATATCTTTTATTTTTCTTATCCTTAATTGCAGTTATAACTGCCTATTTAAAACAACAATAATAACAACGTATTTGATGTTCATAATATATGTAAAAGTGAAATAAATGACAATGTAATGAAGCATGGAAAAGAAAAATTAGGAACATTCTACTATAATTTGTCTATACCACATGTTAAGTGATTAAGAATCATTTAAATGTGGACTGAGCTAACGTAAAAATGTACATGGCAATCATTAGAGAAACCACTAAAAAAGATTTTTTTTAAATAGAAGAGTATTAATTGTAAGTCAAGAAAAGAGATAAAACAGAGTTTTTTAAACATTAACAAATAATAAAAAATAAAGAGAAATATAAGTTACAAAGCTTCTTGGTACAAGCAAGGAGCCCTAGAAAATAGAAGCTATTCCAGAGTTGTAAAAATACTTAAGTTCTTTATTTGCAGATTTGAAATTTTATCTTCTTTATTTAATAATATTCAGTAGAATTCAGAATATTTTAGAGTAACAAAAAGTCTTGTTAGTTCTTCACTTTATCATAAAATCTGTTCTTTGTTACTTTACATATTCTATCTCTGTATTTTCTTATAAGCTATTTAAAAGAAAGTTCTCTGAAAAGTTACATTACTTTTCTATGGTCTTTTTGTGAGAATTTCAAAGCCAGTAAGCATTACTTATAAAGCATTATAAATGCACACATGTGTCATAGTAGGGATTAGTTAATTAGCTCAGAATATTCCCATTATTAATCACTTTCATTGAACCTAGAAATATTCATTTCTTTTTCTTTTTCTTTTATCCTATTTCTGTTCTCCAATCTATACAGACTCTGTGAACCCTCTCAATAGTGTGTGTGTATTCTGATACTTCTTGTAAGAAGCCATATTAAAAATGCAGATACTGGGGCCGGAAGGTGACATGGTGGTTAAGAATGCTGGACTCCCACATAGGCAACCACAGTTCAAGTCCCGGACCTAGCAGGGTGCTTTCTCACTTTCCCTCTTTTCTCTCTCTCACTCTGTCCCTCTCTGGTCAAATTAAAATAGATAAATAAATAAAGTTAAATAAAATAATTCTTTTTAAAAATACAGATACTAATATGTCACTTCTTATAAAATGGTAATTCACTCAATAATTATTTAACATTGATTTATTGAGCCATGTGCAACTATTACAAGGCTGAGATAAAGAGACATAATTGTAATATGACAGAAAATCATGTAATCCCAAGTGTATTTTGTTTGTTTGTTTTTGTTTTGTTTTTCTTTTTTAGAGAGGTTATAGCTATAGGGCACATGTGCTCACTGGAGAGAGAGAAAGACAGAAAGCAAGAAATCACCCACTGGGGAATGGCCATGCCACAATCCCTTTTCCTACAGTCTCTTCTAAGGATTTTTAGGCACACATGTACATGTGCCTAGCATGAGTTTTTAAGCCACCAGGTCCAGCACTCAAAACACAGTCGATTACGTGGGAGTCCAGCGAGATAACCATTACACCATCTACTGGTCCTTTCCAAGTGTCTTTTTAATTAAGTACAGTTTAAATGTGAAAACACATATATAAAACATGGAGTAGAGAATATTTTAGTATTCAAAATTCCTCTTGGTATAAGCATTGCACATTTTTTAGCAAATAAAATACTTTGAAGAGTAGTCATGTTAGTGAGATTTGAGATGCTTGAAGCATTTCAGGATGAATTCAAGTAAAATACCAAATTAAAGTGTTTTCCAAAGATCAAGGGCCATTTAAATGCCCTTTATGTTCTTAATTCCTATGGTGACAAGCAAGCAACTCAAAGTAGGAGGGATATGGGAACAGATCATACCGTATTAATATAACAGAAGGCAAAGAAGCTTGCAAACCTCTGGGAAAATCCAGAAGGAAAAAGAGGATCCAGAGAAAGGGGAGAGAGAAAAAAGAAAAGAAAAAAAGAAGAAGAATCTTGATAAAGGTGAGGGCAAGAAAAAAATTCAATAAGCATAAATATCCAATACGATTTATTTTTTAAATGCTCTGTGTGTGTGCCCAAAATCCCAAGAGAAGAATGGAGGTTCATAAAGTAGGTCTCCCACTCCTACATCATTAACCTGGATGATTCCCATCCCATTCTCCACCCCACAGTCAGGAAAATCTAACAAAAACATATGCATACAGAAATCTTGTTTATTGAATTTCTTGACAAAACCATTGTCCCAAATCTAGGTTGAGGCAGGCTGAACAATCAGGGTGTGGCTGGGGGGACAGTTGATGCTGGATTATTATACTAAAATCTCTAAGCAGTGCAGATCGAGGTTTTGTGTTGCCTAAAGCTGAACACACTTCATCTTTAAGAAAAAATATCCCTCAAAAAATAAAATTAGCTTCAGGGACATAGAAGAGGACCCAACAAAGTGAATACCAAAATTTAAGCTTCATTTCCTTCAAAGTAAATCCACTCCTGCCTATAAGTCGGCTAAATTATGGGGATTTTTCCTAAAACAAAAATACAAATAATATATCTTTGTATAAATTAAGAACCTTAGAATTCTGGAGACAGTAAAAAGGAGATGGGACTATATCAAAACAAAGGTGTTTGTAAAGTTATAAATGTTGATCATTTTTTATCTAAATCATTTCTTATATCCCCATCGTCAACACATTCTTTTAATTAAGTGCATGTCTGCTATAGAGAATCTCATTATGTTACTATAATCAGATAGAAGCAGTTTATATCATTACATTTAAACAGTTGGTAATTTCCAATGTCAAGGTAAGTATATATAGAATGTTGATTGCTGTGATTTCCAGTGACTGTTACTAAGATTTGCCAAGAATCTGCATGAATTACAGAGCACATTATTATCGTTATAGTTAAGGCAGAAAAGAGAGAGAAAGTAAGTTTCACTGGTCTTTTTAAATTTCTCTAACAATGAGGGATGTGTCTCTGACAGAAGAGAGCCATATCCTCCCTATCAGTAGGTTTTGACCATCAAACTTTCCTAACCTATGCCTTTCCACTAGCTAGGTGCTTTCTTTTCCAGAATTTTCCATGAGAACCCATACAAAAACATCAAAAAAAAATTTTAATGTCAAAGAAGCAGGATTTTTTTTAGAGGTTTTTGATTTAAAGGGTGAGTGTTCACTAGAGAGAAGCTATATATAAAAGAAAGTTTTAAATAGCAGGACAGAGACAGACACAGTGAGTGGGACAGTGAGAAATCATCCCCCAAGGGGAATGGCCACACTGCAATCCCTTCTCCTCCATTCGCCTCTTGGGATCCTGGGCACACACGCACACTTGCCCAACATAATTTTTTTTTTTTTTTTGGAGAGATTTTCACTATAGGGCACGTGCGCTCGCCAGACAGACAGAGAGAGACAGAGAGACAGAAAGCGAGAAATCACCCCCCCAGGGGGGATGGTCACGCCGCAATCCCTTCTCCT